ATTCGGGGTTCTGATTGATAGTGCGATGCCATTCATCGAAAATTATATCGATACCGATGAAATTAATTTAAATATCCCATTTTTATCACATATATATATATATATATATATATGTCCCAAGGATGTAAATAAAGTATGAAACAATGATGACTACATGAAGCATCGAGTTACATAAAATTAGAGAATATTTAATAACTGAATTCTGTATGATTAGCCACGTTATTAAATTCTACGAATTGTCATAATTCAATAGACTTTTAATTAGTTACTTCATAATTGACTAATTGATTCATTATTGAACTAATTTTAGATACAAAATTAATATCTATCTGTAATAATAGTTAATAAATAATGCTCAAATGTAATAGAATATAAATTTCATACATTTACATATATAAACTTATTATTTATTCATGTTTTCTTGTATCAAGCTATATGGCGTGTTTTCAAATATTTCATATTTAGAAAGATAATAAATTATTCCTACTCCATTATAAAGCTAAGTGACGAATTTAATTAGCTAAAGACACTTACAGAATTTACAGTTAAAAAGACTTCCAGCGACCAGGAGACATTCTGTGCAAATTACGCAATCTGTTAATTTCATTTACCTTTTGCTACGCCGCGATTTCGAGTCATCCTTCGTATAGAACCCCTGAACGAAGCAAAGCATTATGGGTTCTTTGAAATGACCGTGCACTTCTCCCATGCACCCCCGTTTCGCGCACCCTCTCTCGATGTCACTCTAAGACCCGCACGAGGAGTCTCCCAAGACTTTCGTCTCTTCCTTCGTGATAACGAAACTTCCTCGTAGATCACCTCGAGTTATCTCTTTCGAAATCAGCGATTCCGGTCTTTCAGGACACTTTTGTCTCCGTGGAACATCCAGGGCGACGACGCGAAGATTCAGATTGACGAGAATTTACACCTTCCTACAAAATCATAATTTCGTTTCGTCGATTCGCGCTTTCGCGCGATTTACGAAGGAGGCAATTCAAAACGATGAGATGCAGACCGATGCTCGACGCTCCTCTCGATCGGCTGACTTCGATCAGCTGACGACCTCCTTCTGACGAACTTCTTCCACGACGAATCCTCCGCAAATTGATCGTCTCGTTAAAGGACGAGGAATTACGCGGACGAGGAGAACGTAATATCGCACCCCGTCGCCGTTGTCGCCGTCGTCGGCGGTGCGGGGGTGATAACGTCGGCACCCTTAAGGTATCGCCACGCGGTTGCCAAGCCAACAACCAGGAAAGGGCGAAGCACTCGTCGAACTGCGTACTAACGACAAGAAGGCACGAAGCCCCTGCACTCTATCGATTCTCTTCTCTCTTCCTCTTTCTCACTTACTCTCCCTGTTCAACAGTCGTTAGGCAAACCGAAATATCGTTGGCTGATCGGAGATATTTTTCAGCGATTAGAAACCGACCGGAACATCTCGGAGATCTCTCAACATTGTTGAGATGTGATTTACACTTGATAGTATCTATTTTTTTTAATCTATTTTTTGGGGATTTTGCTTGTGAACGCTGGAGAAGAAGGAGGAGACGTCGATACTTTCTTACAGATCTGCTTTTACTTTCCAGTCAATTACACGGGAGTCTCTGGGAGTCTAAAGTAAGCGTTAAAGGATATTTAAAATAGATCTGTCCGTCAGAAAGTCTCATTCGAGGACAATTTCGTTATAAAATATATTGAACAATTGCGAGAGCAAACAACCATCGGCCTCTACAGATTATTCTATGAGCAATGTTCGAATATGTTCAAAATTTCATTTTCATCCGGTGGAAACGGAATCATCCCTCGTTCCATTCGTTCTCTGATTTCCTTTCATTCCGCCGCATGGTTTATATTTATTTTTACAGAATAATTTTGCAAATTTATTCATTCGAGATTCAGACGGATTTAATGACACGTACGTGTCGCCGACGATAATATATTTAAAGATAATTAAAACCTTCCACTGCCGTCGAAGCATGCGCTCGTTGATCCGTTCGCTGGTAATCCACCACGCTCTATCGTGCACCACCACCACGATTTATTTATACACCAAAGAAAATAATTTTGTCGGATAATATCCGATTTTCAAGAACAATAAATCATCGCGCGACGATTTCTTTTTAGGAGTATTTAAACCGTTCCATTTCCAATGGAAGCGTCCAACTCGTTTATCTACGTCTGTAAAAACTCATTCATAAAACACGATCCCAATCGGAAAGCGTGCCCGGCTCGGCGCCTAGTTATCACGGCATTTCTCGCATCCCGATAATCCGGAATATTTAAATCTCTTCATGGCATCTCCGTGATCGGCGCGTCGTCTCGTCCATCACGGAGTGGAATCCCGTCCGCGGAATCCACAGGCGCGATTTATAAAAATTTCGCACAATCTCACCGGAGAATCGGCGAATCCATCGAAATCGCCGATCGATCGATCCAGCGCGCGCGGTATCCTCGATGGCCTCGAGGTTATCGGGGGTTAACGCTCCCCTCCCCCCAAGTAGGAGTTACTTCTGCAACGAGAGCGACACCCGGGGCGTGCTCGACGCCGATGGCACTCGGATGGCACACGCGGAAATCTTCGTAGATTTCTCGTCTCTCGCGCCTCGAGGGTTTCGTACACGCCGGACAGACGGAAGTGGCGGGCCACCGTGACACGCGGCGTGATCAAACGCGCGAGAGAACGACGCGAACGAGCCGTGTCTCTATCCGACACTGGCGGCGACGAAACGCCACCGCCGCCGATTCCAGCGCGCGCGTTCCTCTCTCTCCACAGTCGCCGCCGTCGCCGCCGCCGCCGCCGCCGCCGCTCGATACGCCTCTCTATACCACCTTCGTTCTAACTCGCGACGCTTGTATCCATATCATTTTACGAGCTTCACGTGCGCGTTTGTCTCCTAACGCACCTGCATACACGCACCGGCTTTATACACGCGCCGCCGGAGCAGGTGGCCGAAAAGTGGGGAACGGTGCCGATGCACCAGTTATGCGTATGTGAAAAAAATCGCTCGAGATGATGGTAAGTGGAGTGGCTTTGAAAATAATCGTGTCGCTAATTTTTGCATCTCGAAGTGTATAACAGATATTCTACACTTGTATCGTATACCGGAGCAAGAAGAGCAGAATGTGTTTTTTTTTTTTCCTCCGATTGTATTCTGTGGCCGAGCAATTATTTGCTTCCAATTGGATCATATTCGCACATCGAGAGAGATATTTTTTTTTTCCATAAATATTGATGGATTTTATATTCACTGCACGTGGCATTATTTTTATATCGTATACGTTTTATATCGTATACGTTTTTATATCGTATACGTTTTGTCATATCCAATCTTCGTTATTTTTACAAGAATAATAATAAAAGAAGAAAAGCTTCTAAATATTATTACGTTAATACAACCTAATATTTTCACTTTTTAAAAAGCAAAGAGTCTAGTGTAACTTCTTTTTTTCAAAATGGTTAATTTAAATAATTGCGTTACTAAGTTTTATCAGAACGATATAATTTTTTTAATTTTTACGTAACATATTTAAACGTAAAATTCAATTTATTTCTTTAAAAAATATGATCTATAAGATCTGCATAAGCCAAGTTTATAGGAAGCACTTTTATATTATTGAATTAGTAGTATTTGGGATAACATTCGCGGTATACAGTCTCGCTCGTCGAGTCGATTGCGACATACAAGTACTTTTAATGCGAGATCCGATTACTAAATTATTGTAAGCCTTGCAATGGACTTGGTTTTTTTTTCTCTACTTTCGTAGCCGCAACGTCTTGCGACGCGTGTCTCTCGCTAAACCAATATATGCGTCGTACTTTCTATGCACTTAGAACTAACTTCGAAAGCGAGTTACAGTTTAAGAGGCAATAAACACTGTAGTTTACCGGATTATGACATTTTATTTTCCCCTTTGTGACCGCTTGCCGCTATTCAACATTATCCACAATTGCATATTGCATGAGACGCGATTTTCCTCGAGAATTTTCCTTGACAGTTATCCATCCGACCTTAACTTTCTAATACGATGGAATTTTCTGATTCTACCTAAAAGTCATATGTGATATAATCTAAAATAACAGTCGATCTTATTCCTCGCAGGTGCGGTATAATCTTACAAAACGGAACTCGATCAATATCTTCAAAAGTATCAATGATAAGAAATTTCTTATCGTGTAACTTATTCGTTGTGATTGTGTTAACGAAAATTCCCAACGTGTACGTGTAAAGATTATACTTTAGATAAATTTTACAGACGAAGCACGATAAATTTATTTCGTAATAAATAAAAATAAATTTTACATTCTTAAATTCATTCTTACATATTTTAATAAGAGATTAACATTTAGATTCTTATTATAAAAACAAAAATTGATGTCTTCTCATGGCATCGGATAAGTATTTGAAGAAATGCGAGAAAAAAGATAGCATTAATGTTGCGATGAAAAAGAATAATAACGTAATTAATAACGTACGACTACAATAAATATTTGCTGGCGGTATTTTAGATTTCATTTATGCGTGGTAACTATGTTCAACTTCTTCATCGAAATTAGGAAACAGCGTACTAAATAAGCCGAGACCGAACAAACAGCTGTAAAATATAGCTCAACTCCGGCGTATTTCGTAAAACGTGTTTAACAACTTTGGAAACAACGAATTATACTTAGACGGCCTACTTTAAACGCGTCTTACTATTTGAACAAATCTAAGGAGGCAAGTATCTTCCGATTAGATACGCGTTCCATTTTAGAAGTCATTATCTTCAGTTGTAAAAAAAAAATATATAACAACTGACTATTTTGAAAGTGCAAACATACATTTATGACTTGTTACAACATAAGTTATGACAGATTTAATCACTTCCTGATTAAGAATTACGTGACTGACACTGAATTATATAATCAATGTAGTCTTGTGATTAATAAATTATTTTTAAAAAATCTAAAAAAATTTTTTCTCTTTTTTTATTCAACTGTTTTAATTTGTTATGTGTTCTAAATTTATTCAAGTAGCATGATTCATCATAAAAGTTTGAAATTTGTTATAACTCGCATACAATTTTAATAATTTTTCTTGCTATATTCTCAACTTCGTCCGCACAATATACGAGACACTTAAGATCCCCATCGACAAAAACCCTCGTCGTAAGAATCATTTCTCACAAGGATTAATCAAAACTAATTGATTCATCATTTTTTTCTCAGAAGGGCGAACAAAATATAAAACAAGTTATTACAACTACAACTCAAATTAATTTATATAATTTTTTATATAATTTTTTATATAATTTTTTTATCATAGGAAAAAGTTCATCGAGCAATATTAAACTAATTAATATTTTTTTTGCTTTCTCGAAAGTTTCTTATGTTATAAACGAATTACCTGTTTCTAAGATATTACGATTCCTGTCCGGCTCTCCAGATGCGGTCACCGTCACTCGCGATGGAAACAACGCAACATTCCGGGAAGGATCCGCAAACTTCCAGAAAGCGACTGACGCTGCGACTGAGACACGGCGTCGCGCTTGTTTCCTTTGTCAACGGAATAAGCCCGTCATATAAAAATTACCGCGTCGCGGCTGTTATCTGCGCCACGGGTTATCTGCGAGAAGAGGCGACCGACGGACACTTTTGCCATCGGCGCTTCTCGCTGCCGCGTTGCTGCAACGTATGCGCAGGCGGAGGCTGATAATCTTCCGCCTCGCCGGCAAAAGGAATCGTGTATCGCGATAAAAACCGTCTATATAATCGATAAAGTTCAATTGACCATTTACGCGGACGCTTTTTAAAGACGCGCCCGACGCGGCGCGCCGATGGAAAAATCACACGCGGCTCAAGCGGCTTCTGCGTGCGTTTTAAATGGCCGATCATTACGCGAATTAATTCGACGATCATACTCGCGGATATATTAATTCGGGCATGCTAACCACTTGTGCAAATTGAAGTCCCACTGCGGAGTGATTATTACGTTGTTACCGGGACGGATTAAACGTCAGTCGGTTAAATATTTTGACGTCAAGTAGTCATCACACCTGGCTGAAGAAAAATTGAAAAATTATCGCAATCAGACTCATTCAGTGCGATAGAAACATGAGAAATTAATAAAAATAATAGTTTGTTATTTGTGT